AGCAGGAAATAGAGGACCTATATTTGAGTTCCACCTTTGACCTTTACTAGCTAAGGAAATATGGATAAATCACTTAAAATTTTTAAGCTTTAATTTCCTCCTTTGTAAAATGGGTTCAATAGACCTTATAATGTTATTGTACATATTAAAAGAGTTAAAAATCAAAATACTTTGTATAAAGTATAAAATATTCTTGTCTTTATACTCCTGCAGCTAACTCTGCCCACAAATTGGGGTAGGCTTCTTGATGGGGTGAAATTTAAAATAAGTTTTCAGATGAATGAAGGCAGGAAGGCAGCTCGGCAGATGGCTGGTAGGTGGCTATTGCTGGCATGGGAGTTCTACGTAGAAACATGTCAGGAGGCTGGAGTGGGAGGAAGGAATAGAGGGAGCCAAGACTAGCTTGGCTGGACCAGAGTAAAGCAGTGGATGCATAAATAATAGAAAGAACGTTTATCTTGGGCCTTTTCAGTGTTTAAAGGTTAGATGACCATGTGAATCTAAAAATTACTAGCCATTAACTACGTTGATGCCAGTGTGTCATTTTGATTTTGGCACAACTCTGTATGGCTTTCTTTTTTATATTTTTCTTTTCCCCTCTCCTCCTCCTATCCATCCTCTTTATTTATTTTTTCCCCTCCTCTTCCCTGCCCTCTTTTCCCTTCCTTTCCTTTTCCTGGTGGACTTGAAATTTGGAGTTCAGTAATGGACTTTGACTCTATTTGGCAGCACTAAGCAGTGTCCTGCCAACACAGCCAACTTTCTTGTGGGTGGCAGATCCCAGGGACAATTTAACTTAATCTTTTCTTCAGTTACCAAAGTTGAAGTATTTTCTAAAAGCATATATATTTGGACCACCAAATTTTCACATATGAATTCTTATCCAAAGAAGCCAGTGGAGCTTCTCTACTTAAATATAGAATAAACTACCGAAACAAAACCCCAATACAGAATAAATTACAAAAAGCAGTTTATCATTTTTTTAATAACTGAATTTTCTCAGAACAGCTAAATATTAAAACACAAAGGTTTTGGCCTCAGATAGCAGTCAGTTTCATTTGTTTATTGGCGGATTACCAAAAGAGTTTGGCATGCCCACTCCTGAAGAAGCCAAAACTTTTGTAGGAAGAAAAAAAATGGCATTTGCTGATGTCTACTCTGAACTAAGATATTGAGTAAAGTTGATGATTCTATTTAACCCTTGCCTTCAGACTACCAACATGCTTACGTCTTCCCTATTCTAAAAATGACCCTTACTCTGCTCTTAAATTACTAACCATTCTCCTTCCCTTCTTTACAAACCTTTTGAAATATGAACTTACCCTGTTGCTTCACTTCTTTCTCTTCCCATTTTCTCCTAAATCGCTTGCAGTTTGGGATTTTCTCCTGTCACCCCATATAATCCATGTTTTCTAGGATCAGCAGTGAAGTCTTAATTATCTCATCAGTTGTTACTAACTGAAGTTGTTAATCAGTAACCAGTTGATATTATAAGATATTACTTAGAAACATAAATCTACAATGCTCCATTTTCTCTAAGAAGAGAATAAATGCCCTAGATTGTAGCAAGAGAAATTAAAGTCATAATCAAGAAACAACTATAAATAAAGGTAAAATAGTCTTGGAATAATATTTATTATGTTTTCTTCTCCAATAATATTAAATAACTGGGTAATTTTTTAATATACCCTAATTTAGATGAAAACAGCCTATAGGTAAGAAAATTTACTTTTTAAATTAAAAATTTTCCCTCTAATCATGGATATTGTACATGCATCAGATATTAAGAATATAGGCTTTTTAAGGAGAAAATAAGAAATATCTTCAAGTTGAAATAGGAAGACTAGAAAACCCCTATTGCAGTTCTTAGGTGGAATAGAATAAAATATAAACAAAAGGTTTGATCCAGTTTCTCAAAAATAATTTTAAGAAGACCAAATTGTTTCTTCTTTCTAAAGATAGGGTGTTCAAAGGATATTATTTATTGTAATGTAATTCATCAAGTGTTTATATAGCACACGATATTTTCAACACTGTGTTAAGACCTCTGGTAGGTATAGAACTATAAAATACAAAGCAATCACATTG